AAGCTAACAGCGGCAAATGTTTGAGTGATTGCCTGCATACAGGACGTTTAGTTGGCGTAAACCTTTATTCTAGCTTCGCTATGAGAATTTACCGATCTATGAATCGTGTTTATGTATCGAACGAATGCCATTTCAGTTAGTGTTTCTGTAAAAGTATAGTTAATTGTAAGTAAGGTGTTGCTTTAATTATTTTATTTATATCAACAATGTAGTTTTTCTAATAAGTTTTGGTGTTTTCGTGTCTTTGTTGGATTATTAGATCTATACACGAGTATATAATATAGGTAAAGATAAAACAGTTAAGTCTTTTTTCTCCTCTGTTTGACAACCGGTTTTCTTTTTTTTTTCTTTTTTTTTTGTTTAGTAGCCATTGTCGAACTTTAGTGTTATCAATAAAAAAAGTTTCGTGTGTGTGCGATTCACACATGGTAGAAGTGAAGCTTCAGAAAATTAACCTAAGAGAGAATGAGGTGAATATAGAGTATCAGGAATGGGATAATTATAAGGTTAATATTTTTTATAATATTTTTACCAAGTTTATAAGTTATTTTACATTTTATTTAACATAAATATACATTACATTCTTATTCAGTAATTAATTTTATTATTTTTCACTTCCTGTGTAATGTATCCTGTATCAAATAAAACGGTTACCATGGCAACATGGCAATGTATTCTATCTCATACTCTGCCGGCCTAGTCTTATATATTTATGTGTATGTCTCTTTCTAGTGTTGCATTTCCGTTTCATCGAGCTTCAAACCAACGATTTTAAAGAAGTTTCACTTCAAAAATATTATGGTATTTTATATTTTTTTATTATGGTATTAAGGATAAAGAATTTCGATCATTGGACGAACACTAATTTTTATAAATGAAACATGAACATGTGGTGTTGGAACACACGAATATATGGAATATATCCGTACCCATGTAATTTATTGCATATAAATAGTTTATGAGTTGGAAATCAACAAATCGTAATTTTTTCAGGATAACAAGAGGTTACGATTGGATATAGGAAAAAAATTATGTTAACAAAAGTTGTTAACGTGTTCGCTTAGAAAATCATGAGAGTAGGTTCAAATCCCGGTCCTCGCAACTCTAATATCTGTGCAAATCTAATTTTAAAAATAATTACCACTCGCTACAATGCTGAAGAAAACATCGTGAAGAGACCTAAATGTCTGAGAAAATATTCAACAGCTTTCAACTGACGTGTGTACTGTGTAGTGTGCTAGCTTGCATTTGGCCAGCTTGGTTGACTGTAGCCTAATTATTCTCCCCTCGTCTAGTGGAAGCATGTGCACAGCAGTAGGACGTTAAAAAACCTTATTATAATTAAAGTGCAAAAAGAAATTAGTTAGAGACCGCGTCTGAGTACAGTAAGGGCGGGTAATTAATTATATTTTACATTAAAGTAAAGGATTTTTAAAATTTCTAGTATATTATATTATAATATTATATACATACTAGCGGCTCACCCTCGCTTCGCTCGAGTTCGTCCCTAGGTTGGTTCCCCATACAAACTTTCATCCGCATTTTCACCCCTTTAAGGGATGATTTCCGGGATAAAAAGTATCCTATGTCCTTTCCAGGGTCTTAAACTATGTTCTTACCAAATTTAATCCAAATCGGTTTAGTAGATCCAGAGATTACCCTCTACAATGTCACAAATTCACAAACTCACAAATTTTACCTCTTTATAATATTAGTATATATAATAGTTATTTTTCATATTAACTTTAAGCTTATTTTGAATAAACCTATTAAAGATATCTCTACTTAAGGCATTGCCACTTCCAAGGAATATGTTCCCAAAATTCTAAGAGCAACGGACCTGGGTTGAGCATTTAAATGTATTGGCGTAGACATTAAAAATCTTTATAGTATTTGAGATTATAAAGCTAAATCTTAGTAGTTCTGTCGAATTTTCTTCAATCTAGCTCGTTTTTAGGGTTCCATACCCGAAAGGTGCCAACGAAACCCTGTTACTAAGCCTGTCCGTCCGTCTGTCAGAGGGCAGAATCTCATGAACTAATAGGTAGAGAGTTGAAATTTTCACAGAGTACGTATTTCTATTGCCAATATAACAACAAATAATAAAAACAAATAGAATTAAAAATACAAGAAACATTTTTTAAAGTTCGTAATCGATCATCGAAGTTAATATACTACATACCTAAATAAAGTAAAAGTCATATTACAAAAAGCATACATATTATACGATGGCACGGAACTCTTCGTGTGCAAATTCAACTCGCACTTGACCGATTTTATTATTTTAATCTAAATAGAGCTATTAAGCTTAGGAAAAGTTTATCATAAAGTGAGAACACAAATGTCAAAAGTATAAATACTAATTGGCATTCAAGTAATAAAAACTATAAACAGTATTGAAAGGTCTTTGGTATTTACGTGGCAGAAACGATTTTTTATGAATTTATTCAGTTGGTAAGAAGCAGTCGCACCAAAGTTCTCTCACGGAAAATTGCAGTGCAAGTCAGTTGCAGTAAATATTTGAATTGTAGAACGGGATTGGTTTGCTTTCTACGTATTCAAAGGCAGTGTTTACATCGAAATATAAAAATTCCTCACAATTTGAGAGTAAGACGATTCACTTTCTGTGAGTTTAGCGATGATTATTGGAGTATTTATGTAGTTTGTAGCATAGTTTCTATTATATATTGAACGGAGAAACGTTTAACGTGAACAGTGTTTCTTATTTATATAATACTAGCACAACCCGCGGCTTCACTCGCGCTAAAACTACAAAAAATCCCTAAAAAGGTAGGTTTCATACAAACTTTCATCATCTATTTTACACCCTTAGGGAATGAATTTCCAAAAATGCTTAAGCACGTATTTATTTAATTGTATTGAAGAGCATTAATACCAAGTTTCAAGTAATTCTGATCATGAATATATTTATGGATTGTATTATAAAGTATTTTCCCGTGGGAATTAGATAATCTCCCGCGGTATGTAGTAGCCTATGTCACTCCAACCCTCCACCTATCTTCACACAAAAAATCACGCCAATCCGTCACTCTATTTCGATGTGAAATAAGGACAAACAAACAAACACACTTTCACATTTATAATATTAGTATGGATATCAGTATAATAAAAATAAAGAAAACGAATATAAAATAAACAACAACTGCCGATACACAAGGGATTTAAATTATGTTTTACGAATATGTTGTAGAGCTGATGATTAATTATTTGCTTTTTTGTTAAAAGTTTGAGAAATGTTATAGGCTATCCAACACCATGCGATGAACCTTAAGAGCGGAAAATGATAAATAAATAAACTACACAAGCGGAGCCATAGGAAAAAGCAAGTTTTTTTGGGAACAGTCAGTTTTTTATATAGATTCGATAAATTCTATTAATTTATTTCTTTTCCTCAAATTTTCAATTTAAAATGTGTTGACTTGTTGAGTTTTTTTTTAAAGTACAACAATGACACTTCTTAATAAAATATTACTCATTATTAAAACAAGTTGGTACAAGTAATACAACTTATACAGTATCATGAAAGTTTCAAAAAAGAGCTTGTGTTAGTTAATAGGGGTTGGATCTTTAGACCTTGTCGACCCCCAAAATCAGTTTTTGTTTATGTGACACCCCTGGGAAACCTATATCGAACCCACCACTTTGGGAATCCCTGTTATAGACAGATAAAACGCATCGGATGGCTAGTATCCACAGATCTTAACTCGTAACTTTCAAGCGAGTTTGCTTGTACATTTTTATTAAGTGTAAATATATATATTTTGTAATATAAATATAATATATACATAATACGTGATGTACATAATAATTATCGATACAAAGGCCGAATCTACAGTTTTTAGAATTTTTGTGTCTTTTTGTATATGACCACATCACGAAAAAAAACACTAGAGGGATTTTGATAAAATTTGGTATATTGATAGCTGGATATCAGGGTCAACATACGAGTATAGGATACTTTTTACTGCGGGAAAATATCTCATCTCTGAGAAATATATATATACTAAACGTTAAAGTGTAAGTAAAATCGCTAGTATATAATATAATATTATATGTGCAGTGCGATAGGATGATAAGATAAATTAAATATAATAAATAGCCATATTTACATGTAATCTTGTTAAAAAGCACAAACGTCTAATCGTACACCTCTCTTTTAATGAACTTTGGGTGACATTCACTGAGCCGTAAGTGATATATAAAAGCTTTTGACAGATTTATTCGTGATTAATGTTGAATTTCATTTTAAGCACGGCGACGAAATTACTGCGTTAAATTACATTTCCAATATAATTTTATACATCTCGAACTACGCTTCGAATTTTATTTCTGGACATAATTTATGACGTTAGCGTAATGGTGAAATGCTTTTCATAGACTTGTTATTATGTATTAACAGTATGGAAATCCAATTTAATTTTGATTTAAGCTTTATAAATACGTTTGTCAAAGCACGTTTGGTGCATTTTAAAGTTTTATTATAAAAGCTGTGGTGAAATTTTGATATCTTATGATGTATATAGAGAATTTTTGAAGCTAACTAAAGAATTCCTATAAATATTTCACAATATAAAGTGAAAGGTTTTTTGTACGTCCAGTAACTAAGCTATATCTTACACAAACAGTATTTTTTTATAATTTTGATCTCGTACAAGAAACCAGACCGCATCTTTCAAAGTTAGTGAAAACCATTGGTTTTCACTGCACTACGGCATTTTTACAGTATTTTTTTTATATTTATATATATTCATGATGTGCTGATGAGGATATAAAACGCTGTAATACTCTCTTAGATTTACGCGAATATTTGACATTTTAAATAAGCCTTTGAGGCGTCTATAACCTCAGTCTCTCCCGTGACCATGATCGCTCTAAAGCATTCGAAACGTCGGGAAACAAAAATCAAAATAAATCTGCGAAATAATCCGAAAAGATAGTTTTATTTAAAATGCTATAAGTTACAAATATAAGAAACTTACCTGACGCTCGATCTCTAGTACCAAGCACTGAAGCGATCTGTGGACGCTCCTCATTGATGACCAGTTCAGCTTGCTCGCTGTACACAGCATGTACAGTGGAGATGCAGGTCAACCTAAGCTGGCCACGCTCGAAACTATCCGGTCGCACCATAAATGACAGCTGACTCACTGATGCCACCTGCAAAATATCTTGACATAAAAACAAAGGAAATAGAAATCAAAATAAATAGAATCTTTAAAAGAAAACATAATTTTTCAAATATTTCTTATATACCCAGAAGACATTGAGAGTACTAGCTGTTATTGTTTTCTTATCTTAACTATCCATAGTAATTTTATGAGAATTATTAAAGTTACATAGATTTCATAATTATTTTAAACTAGCGAAAAATAAAAACAAATCTATCCCACGATAACAGTAAATTTTTCCGGGATAAAAAGTAGCCTATGTGTCCTGAATTGTGTGAGCTATATTATTGTAAAGTTTCATTAAAATCCATTTAGTAGTTTTTGCGTGAAAGAGTTACAAATATCCATATACGACACGTTTGGCTCAGTTTGTAGTGACCCTACTTGCTGTGCCAGCGGTCGCGGGTTCGAATCCCGCTCGGGGCATTAACTTGTGTGATGAGCACGAATGTTTGTGCTCCAGTCATAGCTGTTTATATTTATAATATGTATGCGTTTAAAGTTATATAAGTATATAGTATCAACTATACTGGTATCCATAATACAAGCCTCGTAGCTTGCCATAGAACTAGATGGTGCTGTGTTTTAATGTCCCAACATATTCATTTATATTTATACATTTATACATCTATACATCCTCACAAACTTTCCGCCTCTCTATATTGAATTATTCCTTGCAATTTTATATTAATTTATTTATTTACGTGGTTTCTAGAACATATCTAAAGATTCCTATCAGATATGATAAAAATAAAATATATGAACTATTAAATGCCTTGATAAAATAATATTTAAATATTAGCATTTCAAAATATAGCAACGCAAATATTAGGTTTGTTGTTGTTTTAAACTTTGAGGAGATAAAGTAGGTTAGATCTGTCCAGTGGTTTCAATAACTTGAATATCCAATTTGCATGAGTTACCCAAGTATTGGTAGTGGTTTAGGTCGGAGCGTTTCGACAATAGCATTTATCAATTTAGTGGATGCATGCATAATGTACTAAATCTATTTTAGCTAATTTAAATTATTCTATCAATTTTACTCTGTGGCTACAGACTTTTGATTGATGCCAATTATTTCATTATGTAGACTCTTTAGTATGATGTACTTGAAATATTATCTTAAATATTACAAATCTGAAAAAAATGTTTTTGTAAGAAATTACTAATTTTTGGAACTACCAAACCGATTTGATTTGTTTGATTTTATTGAGCCGCTAGCAACTTACGTACCTAGTAGGTACGTTGTAACCCTAATTCTTTTTATAAAATAAAAGATACTCCTTATAATATCAGCTGCCAGTGAAAATCACGTCAAAATCGGTTCAGCCGTTTTGGAGTTTAGCCGGAACAAACAGACAGACAGACAAAACTTTTATAAATGGGGTTTTAGTAACAACTCAAAAGTATCGTATACAATTTTATATGCATTTAATAAAAAGACACTACAATTTTATTTATCTCTAAAGAGTCATTGCAATGTCCTTCTGACCGATTTCGGCCACCGCAGCCAAGCTCACTGAAACGAGCTATGTGCGTAGAAGATATAATTAACAAGTTTTGCGCTGCACTTTCTACACCTTTCATACGTCACAATTCCAGTGGGACAATAATTCGATATGACCTGTATCGGATCAAAATATAAGGGGCAGGATCGACAGCTTTTGTTCTTCGAGACCCGGGGCAGTAATACAGACAGCTTCTTTACTTCGAACTACTGCTGCGAATATTTAACAAAAACAACCAATAGCTATACTTGGACACGTAACCCAGAAACTATAATATAGGCTATATAGCAACTTAAAAATGGAGAAATAATTCATAAATAAATTTCACGTGCATAGTTGCAGTCAACTTGTATTATTTAGCTATGATTTATTATCATTTAATGTATAGAAACATAGTCTGTTACTAGCGACTCACCCTCGCTTAGCTCGGGTTCGTCTCTAGGTGATTCTTTAGATTGACGTAACGTTTTTATTTAGGAATCGATTGAAAAAAAACAAATACTAAATGTTAAGTGAAGCGTATCACAATACATTAGTGAAAACCGCACCCAAATCGATTAAGCCGTTTCTGAGATTAGCGCACACAAACGCACAGACAAACAGACAAAAATTCTAAAAATTATTGTTTTGGGTTTTATTACGTTTAAAAAGACCCCCAATAATAGTTTTTCTCAAATATCTTTCATGTGCACATAGCGATCAGTTACAATTTTATTATAGGTATAGACTGTAATACTCGTATATAAAATATTACAATTATTTTTATAATAAAATATGTTAACTATTTCTATTATTTAACATTTATTTCTTTGTCTTTCTTGTCACAGTAATAAATATTCTATTAAAGTTTGTATTCTGTTTCAAAACATTATATATAATTTTAAATCATTATCATTTGGCTTCTTATTTAGTTCCTCATGGAATATTATTCGTCAGAGGTTTGTACACGTAATGTTTAACTTCTAAGCGAATTAATATGCCATTACCTTTTTAGACGATTGTACCGTTGGAGTAGGATCAGTTGCATCTTCATCTAGTCCAGTATCCTGGTTGCGTGGTGTTGGGAACATAACTGAATCTTGACTGGGCAGAATTTCTCCATCCTGAAACCATCAAAACAATTCTTTAATTGTAAATATTTATTACTACAGTACTTTTTCGTTTTTATGAAAATTATAATAAAAATAATATTAGAATTTGCTTCCATTGAGTAATAATAAGTTAAATACTCGTAGATAAGTTAGATAAAAATGACACATGTATGATCAAACATTTTCTATTCCGACTTAAACTCAAAGGAAACCACGCTCCATAATAAACAGCAAAATTTCAACATCAGTCAAACATATTAAGGGGATTGAGGAAAATTAAATCAAATATAGACGTCAAAAGTACTTTAAGGCTATCGAAATAATTTTATGGCTACTCATCTTTCGGGGCAACAATAAGAACACTATCAGCGTTAATGAATATGTTCAGGAACCGAAATGATTGAGGGCGAAAACATCGTTTGTTAGGGAGGTACGATTAATCACTGTCTCGGACCAATTAGAGTATAATAATTGTTCTATGAAAATTTCGATTCTCAGAACATTGCTAAACATGAATTAGTTATGCGGATGTCTAAATTACTTTTGGCCCTGTTTATATTTTCACCGAAAAAAAATTAATGTAGGCGTGATTGATTGATGTACATTTTCGATTATACTATACACGGTTTTCTTTTACTTAAGTGTATTGATTAAATTTATTTATTTACTTTAGATGGAGTAAGTTGAAGATTTTGTATAATCATGCTCGTAAAGTGCTTACCAAGTAAATACTAACAATTTTCCCAAAATTATGATTCCTTTATCAATATTCTTTGCGTTAAAAGATTCATTTAAATAATATATTTTGATTTGCTTGATAGCATTCGAAAAAATACTACTAAAATATTGTCCTAATTTGATAGAAATGTTACCTTCAACCGTTGTCTTTGTACAACACAACGTAAAAACCAAACAAATGTTTTAAAGCTACCTAAAAATATTGCTTCAAAATAAAAAAAAGCTTACACTGCACATTTGAGGTAGAAACAGTAGCGTTTGCGTTTTACCTGCACTGTGTCCACAAAGGGTCCAAATGCTTTCCATGGACTGAAAATGATATTGCTGTTCTCATCGCCTGGAGCGGCTGTACTGCGAGTTAGTTGAGGTATATCAATAGATATCGCGGGGCTTGGTAAGATACGCTGTAGCATTATTGGTTTCCCTTGGATCTGAAACAAAATTAAATTGTAGTAGTGGCTGTTTTTAAATATATTCTTGTAAGTGTATCGCTTTGCAGGGTGCCTATTCGAAATTGCTTATTTATACATGCATTATAATTTTGAACACATTCAAATTTCGTTGAAGTCACAATTTTAAGATTAAAAATCGTGGCTTTAGAGGATGACCTGTTGCAATCCTATCGTTTTAAATTGTTTAGTTTTGTAACAATTTAATTCGTTGCCATTACATATGTACATATATATTTGACTTCTTATTTTAAACCAATGTGTATTTTATCAATAATTATCTCTGTACTTAATGGGGATTGGCAGCCCGCCATGTTCGTGCATATTCATGTGGCGCAAAGAAAAATTTTACCATGTCCAGCTTCAATGCAAGAAAGGACTTTTTGTCCAAAACTTTATATGGACTTGTTAATTGAAAAATATGAAAAATATTAACTTATATATGTTATAAATATAAATTAATAAGTTAACTCTGACATTCCTTAGCTATCGAAAATCACATAACTATTTGCTTTTAGCTTTATGGGTTTGTTTAAAAAAATATATATGAATCTATTAAGTAAACGTAAATTTATTTACAATAAAGGAAATTACAAATATGCTTAATTATATATAGTACTAAACAAATGTACACTTAATTATTACTGTACAAGTCATGGCCGCGTGGTATAATAGTGCCAAGAATGCCAGCAGCATTCTTCTGTTGAATAGCAATGCCTATCCTTTGGACGAAAAACGAGCCAGCTCTCCTGTCACTAGTACAGACGACGAGAGAAGTAAAAGTGAATACATCAAAGATATATGATATAGTTAGTATAGATTTCTCAGAGATGAGATATTTTATATAGTAAAAAGTACCCTATCTGAATAATTAGGTATCATCATACCAAATTTCACCAAAATCTGTCCAGTGGTTTTTTCGTGATGCGTTTCCAGACAGACAAACAGACAGATAGACAGACAGAAAGATAAATATTCTAAAAACTATACATTCGGCCTCTGTATCGATGATGACTTTTTCAATAAGATTTTCCAAAAGATATTTAATGTACAGATTCGACTCAGAAGCTTATTATTATATGTGTAGATAGAACGTAATATTTGCAGATATTTTTTACTCCCACTTAACTATATAATATACTTTTGATCGGAAATACCTAAGTTAAGCAGAAATCAAAGTGCGGACAAATAATATATGAGGATGTTACAAATTCCATTACAGTTAAGACTCTGGAGACATGAGACCAATCGTATTTTTATTTTAGTAGCTGGTTAGTGTAGGTTGCGTGAGCTATCGGAAACGAACTATTGTTTCAATGCTTTTAGCGTTTTTCTGCATTGTACTGTAGTGGGATTTATTTCTTTAAACTAGAAACTTTTTCAATTAAAGTTCTTTGCTTGATATACAGTTCAATTATCTAATTAAAAAAAACTGTTATATTTTTTAAATTCTTAATGTCCAGGTAATACTAATAGTTATTAGTAAACCTACGTACGTCGTTTGACCGTCGATTTGTTATTTTAAGGGTTACATTTTTTAAATCGAGCCAATACGTTAAAATTTTTGTACAATTCTAATTTCAGTTAATAATTTTACTTCAACACACTTCCATATTATATATTTTTTTATAAATTCCATCTTAGAATTCCTAGAACCCTAAATAAATAATCAATACTTGTAAAATGATTTTAAAATGAGTATATTTGTTGTAAATCTATTTAAAACCTACAAATATTAAGTGACGCCGTAGTTATAGCGTAGCGACGCTTATAAATATCCAGGGTATAGTTCTAAGTTTAGGTATGGGGAATGGAGAATGTCGCATGATCGAGTGCTGCTATCGCTCACTGGGACTGAGAAAATCGGTTTATAGCATAGTGATGTCGTTGATAGATATCTGTAATACTCTTATACTCGTTCTGATGTAATTTTCTAAATTGAGTAGTAAATGAGATAACATCACTGTGGAATTAAATTGATTGTTATTGGATTGTATCGGAAATTGAAATATAAAAAAAAAAATATAGTTAGTTTTATTGAATACTAGCGGTTCACCCTCGCTTCGCTCGGGTTCGCCTCTACGAAAACTAAAACAAACCTGTCCCACGAGAACCGTATTTTTCCGGGATTAAAAGTAACTTAAGTGTTATTCCAGACTATAATCTATATCTGTGCCAAATTTCATCCAGATCCGTTCAGCAGTTCTGGCGTAAAAGAGTAACAAACATCCATACTCACAAACTTTCACATTTATAATAATAACACAGATTTATTTAATACTGCAAACAGTATTTTATCTGCCTTTTACCACGATAGGTAAATAAGTGGTTGCAGCATAACTTTAACTTTATACTAACTTATCTAAAATATTCATAATGAGATATTCAAGTGAAGTTAGCAATTTATCATATTAAATTTATAATAATTTCAAATGCATAAGCGCGAGTATTAAGAAAAGAGAAAATACCTATATTGTACATTCTGAAAATAATTTTACTTTTATATCTTCTACTTCCTACTGCCATCTCCTCCTGAATATTTCTAGATAGTTGGCAATTACCATACATACCTCCGGTGTTCTTTAAAAGCGTGCAGAACAGAAAGCTAAGACCAAGAACAGAAGCTTTCGATTTACATGAAATTTAATTATATTTTTGACTGATTTCAAGGGAAGAGATGCTCATTTTGAATGATTTTTTTTTGTGTATAAATGCTTAACGATATCTGCGTCAAATTCTTAGTGATTTTTGATCATGATTGTTTTTTCAACTTCTTCAAGTCGTATTTTAAGGAGAGCACCATATAAATTTTAAGAAATAATTAATTTTCAGTTAATAATTTCATGTAGAAGTTTTTTTTTGTGTATTTTTTTCAGGTGTAAAGTTTCTATTATTTTGGACTATTAATGTACTGATTAGTGTGATATTACACAGTGCGATGGACAAAAAATCTGCTGATATATGTAATATATATAAAGAAACAAACAAAGATTACACCGTAATATCACTTCAACTGAAAGATCCATAGTGCCAATATGATTTGACTCACGATTGTGAATATGGTAGTAGAATCGTGCAGTGAATGCCACGTCTAATGCTTTCTGTTCTGTCACAACGAGTAAACTGGAGTATTTGTATCAAAGCCGCTCTCTGTATTACGCATGAAGTAATGGGTTCGATATATATTTTATATGGGGAAATATTTGTATTGATTACAAAAAAATTAGCTATATATTCATAGTTTCCACTAAAATAAAGACGATCGACAAATCAGCTAATTCGTTCGACGAAGCTCTATTGTCGAAGTTATACTTTTACCAATAAATGATAATAGATAGTAATAAGTTACAAAAATGTACTAAATATAATTTTATTTTTTGTTTTATGATATTAAAAATGAATACAATAGTATATATATAAAGGTATGAACAATGTACTTGTACGTATGCTTGTTATTCTCATACGCTGAAACGGCTAGAGGAATTTGGTTGAAATTTGATAAAAAGATAGATTATAATCTGGAGTAATATTTAGGCTAATATTTGTAATAAAATAACGCTGCCTGTATATCTTATATATAAATATCTCGTGTCATGGTGTTCGTGGTCACACTCCTTCAAAACGGCTAAACCGATTTTAATGATTTTTTTGCATATTTGGTAGGTATGAGAACCTAGATTGTAAAATATTTTTCACCCATTTACCAATACAGAGCTCTGTTTTTAGCGTGATTTTAGTATTTTTGTATAAACAGTATTATATGTATAAATACCAACAATACGCTGTATATGTATCCGCGGTTTTTGCTAGTAATATTATAAAATGCAAAGGGCACTTACCACATACTCGAACAAAGCAAGGATAAGTCGTTAGTATATTGTAATTTTATATAATATGAAATTTTTGTTTTCAGAGAAAATACAAAACTGTTGTTGTCCTATTCAATTGATGTATCCCTTTATACACTGAATTCGTGCACGGAATATAAAACATATTATATTTCTAAGACGTTAGTACGTGTTAGGACGAGACGTACGATGTCAACAGTTAGTGACAGGTAATCACTGTCATATTATTTTAAACATCATAACGTTGTCTTTGGGTTTTGCTGGTGTCATCAAATTTCGGTATTATGATATACAGGGTGGAACAAACAATTGGAAAATGAAAGAAAAATATTATAAATATTAAGGAAAGATGCCTTTAATTTTAAAAGTATTAAAAAGCTGAACTAGCTTATTTAAAAAATTAAGAAAAGGAAAACGTCACTACATACTCGTACGTTTTATGGAACTAATCGATAAGGGTTGTAGTAAGAATAAAACCTCTCGAACAAACATTGTATCTTACAATTACAGGAAACCAAGAAATCTTACTCTACTTGATTTCTTGGTTATTTGTTATCGACTCTAATAAACATCGTAGAAAAAAAGACGGGTCATGAAAATATATTAAATCTTGGAGATATCAAGTTCTTTTTCCACTCTAAGAAAACTTTTTTTTTTAAATAATAATAACTACATTTTTATATAAAGATTATCTGACTCGGTAATCGAACCAACTAAAAACGCAAAAAAAAATGAGTTATTGATAAAGCTTATAAACCTTATATAATATCAAAGGTGAGGCTACAAACTAGTTGTAATTTGTATTTATCACGGTTATCATATCATAAGGATGATTACACTTAAAAATATTCTAAAATTACGTCCTATATATATATATTCAAACGAAACACCAAAAAATGAGAAAATCTTAAATTTTACCGAAATATCTTAATTCTAACATAAAAAACAGCCTCACAAATATAAAATTCCCAACGCGCTTCCAGAAATTAAGTGAACATTTTTATTTCAGACGAAAATTTAAGCCACATTACTGCACTCCAATCGTCCTGAATATATTACAAGGACGTTAGCAAGGTTAATGACAGCGGAACAGAAAAGAATAAAATGGAATTAGCAACACAAAGAGCCGCCGCG